ACATTATATTTACAAAAAGCATCTGTTTATTTGTCCCTCATTTATCTTTCCATGTTTTTCCAGAAGAAAAACCTACAGCCCGAGGGGTGAGGTGGCTTGTTGGCTTGCGTTTCTTGTCCCTGGATGATAATTTATTTAGAATGCTGTATCACCAGGGCCTGAGTGCCTGACATTTAATAAGAGATAAATAAACGAACGATCAATTGCATCAGACAGGGTCGGATTCAGAGAGTCATAAGACATGTTGGGGGCCGTGGAACCTTTTGGCAGTCTCATAAAACTTTTGGACCTTTGTCACAATAATATTTTAGAATGCTTAAAATAAACATATAGAATTACAAAGTAAATGAAGGTATTGAGGTTAGCCACGTGGGGTTTGGGTTAAGATCCCCCAAGGGAGGGCTGTAGGTTGTTTCTTTCTGAGATTTTCTGCTATGGTATCTATCTCGTTACCCAAACGTAGTTTTTGGATCTGCGATTTTGCTTGGCCCCACTGTACACCTCCTAAATTAGGAAACTCCATTTCTCTTTAACAAGCTGTTCAAATGCGTCTGCTGCATCTTAAATGTTTAAAGTCAGAGGCTGGGCAATGGCTCAGTGAGTAAAGAGCCACCTAAAGGTACAAGGGCCTGGGTTTAATCCCTAAGAATGCATGTAAAAAAACTCCCAGTACATAATGGCATTTGCTGAGGACATGGACACAGGCTGATCCCTGGTGCTCACTGACCACCCAGTCTAGGCTACTTAACAGACCAGTGAGAGACTGTGTCTCAAAAAACAAGGTGGACAGCGCCTGAGAAGGAACAGCTGAAGTTGTCCTCTGGTCTCCACACATGTATTCTTGGACCTGTGCATGTGTGTGTGTGCGCGCACACACACACACACACACACACACAGAGGTGCATCTGCATACATACAAACACACATGCATCACACACAGCAAAAAGAAAAATAGAGCTTGAAGCCATAAACATTATCTGAAGGTGACACCAGGTTGCAGCTTGGGTCCCGAGTCCTGATAACAGGGCGAGTGGGTTCTGCAGCGGCTCTGGTTTTCAGCTGACAGATCCTGCTTTTGCACTCTCCTAACATCTCTCTTTGGTTAAGGACACCTCATCTTGGCTTCAGTCCCTGGATCCGTTGCTGCCTTATGAATATTTAGTACCACAGGCCTAACTCAATGCTGATTTCTATTTGCTGTTTAAGAAACAAAATTAAATAGAGGCTTCTAGAGTTGATAGGCCCAGGGAAGCTTTTCTTTTGAAGAGTAGATGTTATTTAGATGGCTCTCTATGACTTCAATATAATCTTAAGGACTTATCTGGGACTCTCCCTAACAGACTGACACATGACTATTTCCCTGTTTCTTGGCTGGATTCATCTTTAAGCTTAGGTGAAGTTCATAAATTGCACTCCGGGTCTTCTTCCCACTGGGTATTTGGTCCCTGTAGTTGGTTCCTCACTGTCTGAAGAGTGAGAACCTTGACCTGGTACCAGCCTTTGTCTGCAGGTTTGTCCCTAGATTCAGCATTCAGTGTGCACCCTGTGGTCTCTGTCCCCATATCTTTGTCCTTTGATTGATGTCCTCTCTGGAACATATTTTCCCCTTATCAGAGTTTCCTAGGCAGCCGGGGCAGCCCAGCCAACAACCTTTTAATGACAAGGTATTTGATATATGAGAAATGAAAGTACCCAAACTAGCTTATGAAAATTTTAGTATGTTTAAAATACATATCACTTAACATAGTAACATTTTTATGTATTTATGTTAATTATTCATAAACTTATTTGGAGATCATGTGTCCCAAACAGTAGGTCCAGGCCATGTAATCTCATTGGCTTCCTTAAAACCTGTGTCATGAGACAGCCCCCTCTCCCATGGATCACCACTGAGTGTGCCTCTACAGAGCAGCGTGATGAAATCTGCTCAGCGGTTTTGTGGAAGTGTTTCTCTTTTGATAATTCCTACAGCATTTTGAGTGTACTGCACACAGCATTTTTGAATACTAATACATGGTGTTTTATGTTTGTGGTTTACCTTCCTGTACAGGATTATAAGAACCTCAGATTTGAGAATGCATTTTAATAAGACAGCACATGGTATAGACAGTACATGGTGAATTTTAAAAAGTCATGGTGTTGCATGAGCTTTCACCTGGTTTCAAACCAAAATAAAATTAAGCATGAATTACTCTCAGATGGCTTGGTCAATATATATGCCATACATATTTTCATGTCCACATTTGTGTCTGTACATGGGTATGTACAATTTTGTTTACTAAGTCATTTATAAGGAATAATTTAGAATAAAAAAATCATACGTTTTTGGGATTGTGGAGATGGTCAGGGAGTAAAGTGCTTGCCACGCAAGCAAGAGGACCTGAGTTTGAAACTGAGTTTGAATCTCTAGCAAACTATATAAAAAGCTAGGTATATCGGTGTGTGCCTGTAATCACATTGTTGGGGAGATGGAGACAGAAATATCCCCGGAGAAAAATCCAAAGTTAATCTGGGGCCTCCACAAACATGAGCTTTCTCTCTCTCTCTCTCTCTCTCTCTCTCTCTCTCTCTCTCACACACACACACACATCACACACATGAACATTTACACACAGGTACACACAAATAAATACAAATTTATGAAAATGATGCTGTTCCTGGCTTATTGAATAGCACTCTGGAGGGTGCTGAAAACATCTGTGAGCCAGTGTCTGGTAGCTTACAAGATAAAGAGAAATAAACCAGATAATTATGCGCCACGATTATTGCAAAAGAGAACACATACTTTGTTACTTGTCAAGCAAATGCGATGGGATTTATCTGTGGACACTAAAAGAAACTGAGTCAGTGAAGGAGTTTTGGTGGGATTAACATAGGGACGATGGCTCTAGGATGAAGAAGAGGTTGTGCCCAATCAAGGTCACAGCTGTGCAAAATCAAGGTAACAGTTGTGTGAAATCAAGAGCGCCATAGAGGAAATGATGCTAAATCCGGTCGGTCACCTGGGACCAATTAATTTAGTGACTGGCACAGTTACTGATGAAGTATTAAGCATGTGTATTTAACAGAGTCAGTTTCAAGTGAGTTTTTTTCTTTTCAATGAATTTTTTGGTTAACATACAAAGAGCCATTTTCATGCATGTTTGCTGTCTCACAAAACAGTATGGTTTGCCGCCTGGTCCCACTCTCTTCTTGCCGATCCTCTTCCTCTCCACCAGGCTCCCCCTCTGCTGTCCCAACATAGGTATTCGATTCTTCTCTCTTGTTTCTCTCTCTTCCCTCCCCTTTAACCTCGTTCTCCCCTCTCATAGACCCATGTGTATACATACATATATGTATATGTTTCATATTTCAAAGAAAACATCCACTATTTGTCTTTGAGTCTTATATAATGACCTTCAGTTCCATCCACTTTCCTGCAGATATTACAATTTAATCCTTCTTTACAGATGAATAAATGTACTGTGTATATATGCATGGATTTTCTTTATCAATGGCTTTGTTTTAAGAGAAAGAGTGACATCGCTTCTGAGGATTGCTGGATGGGATCTGTGATAGAAGAGCCCCTGGGCTTGGGCAGCCCCGGGGAGCACATCTCGGTGGCTACCGAGGCTGTGAGGCTGTGGCTGACCTTCTTTCTAGGATGGTCGGATTCCTGGGACATTGCCGATCTGATTAAAATCTTGAGGCGCTCAGGCTGTCCTGGGGTGGTGATGTAGAAACAATGGGGGCTATTGGTGATCTCTGTGGTGGAGACTCTTCAAGAGGAAGGTTCTGTCTATTTTTGTAAATCTAAAGGTAAAACCAAATAGTGATTAGGAAAATAAGCAAGACATTTGGCTGTGTGCGTAATTTTGTTGTTCTTTGTTGTCATTTGATAAGTCATGTTATGGCCCTCAAATACATCAGCTGTATTTTAACACAAACCTATTTGTAGGGAGGATAATATGATATTTAATATGTGAATTCTGGAGGAAGGTCATTAGCTAGTTTTCAATTGCAGTTAGGAACTATCAACACCAACTGCTTATTACATCAAATTGCAGTTAACAGTCCCTAAAAGGTTCCATGTGATTGAAGCCCTTGAATTCCACAGATTTCACCTATTTAGCGATCCATAAACTATTGCAATGTAGTATATAGAAAACTGGATGATAATTTTAAGTGCTTACCCTTCACCAGCAAACCTTAAGACAAGAGAGTCTCTTCTTACAAATAAATGCACCTCGTGTATCTGCTGTTCTTTTGTGCATTTTCTGATTACTGGCTCAGTCATTAATTCTTAGGATGAATCTGGAAAATACCTACTGTCAAATAGTATCTTAGTTAAGTTTTAATTATCAATTTGACACAGCCTGAGAAGGGGGTCTCAAGTTAGGGATTTCCCAGATCAGATTGACTTTGGGCATGATTCTGAGGAATTGTCTTGACTGTTAATTGAGGTAGGAGGGGCCCATCCCACTGTGGGCAGTGCCATTCCCTAGGCAGGTGGTCCTGGTCTATATAAGAAAGCTAGCTGAGCATGAGTCTGTTGGTTTCTGCTCCAGCATCTGCTAGAGCTCCTGCCCTGATGTCTTTCAATGACTGTGACCTGGAAATGTAAGCCACATAAACCCTTTTCTTCCCCAAGTTGTTTATGGTCAGAATGTTTTATCATAGCCACAAGAAGGAAAATAGAACAAACAGCAACTTTTATTCTTTTTCTACTCACACTTTAGTTGTTTTGCCTAGGTTTATTTGTTTATTTTTGAGCCACAGTCTTGCTGGCTGGCTGGTACAGTCCAGGTTGGTCTTAAACGCAAGATCCTTCTGCCTCAGTCCCCCAGGTGCTGGGAGTCCAGGTGTGTGCTACGATGCCTGTCAAGTGTTTAAGTTTTGAATGGCAGGTTGATGCATATATTTGTTATGGACACCCTCAAGTCAGTTCTTCAAGTTGCCAGAGCGTTCGCAAGCTCACGTTTTGGGACTTACCAGTATCTTCCTCTTACCTTCCGCGACAGCACCTGTCTTACGGCAGTGACAGCCTGCATGTGGACGCTGCGTTCCAGCAGACCCTCTGGAGCGTGGCCCCGATCAGCTCAGGAAGCGAAGCAGCCCAAGGTAAAAGCCCCACTTTAATTAGAAGGCTTGTCCTTCCTGCAAATGATGCTTGGCAGTGGAATTGTGATAACGAGCTGATGGTTAATTAGAGACCTTTTGCATCCAAATATTCTATCATGCAGAAACATGGCATTTTTAGAATCTCGCCTAAATTGCTATGTAAAAGCACAACTTGTGTTAGGCTTCATTGTCTCTTTATATTCACTGTGCTGTCAACTTTCACTTACTTCTTTGATTTCCTGTGCTAGCTCTCTAAGGGCAGTTTACCCCGTTTGGGGAGTCTTGGGGGTACGCCCAGCTATTCTAATGTCATCATTTCTCATTATGTGGCTTGTGCCTTGAGGCTGGACCACAGCGATGTTTTGTGCAGCAGCGTTTCCCGGGAGATCACTGCCTTGGTTCAGGTTCCTCTGTCTTACACAGCTTCAAATCTGAGCCAGTACATGTTTGAATGTGCATGTGTGCACATATGTGTGCATGCATGTGGAGGCCAGAGGTCAACCTTGGTTGTTAGTCATCTTTTGGGGGGGGGCGTATGCATTTGTGGTATGTATGTGTGTATATGTGTGTTTGTATGTGTGTGAGTGCACACGTATGTGCAGGTGTACATGCCCATATTCACACGTTCACTCTGTTTTCTTGAGACAGTGTCTCTTCATTGGCCTGCGGCTTGTGGATTAGGCTGTGCCAGGCTCTGGAGCCCTAAGGATCCTCTTGTCTCTGTCTCCCCAGTGCTGGGAATGTAATTGCAGGCCACCATCTCTGACTTTTTATGTAAATGCTAGGGATTGAACTCAGGTCCTCATGTTTGTGTGACAAGCCCATTACAAACTGAGCCCTTCTCCCAGCCCCAAATTTGTGTATTGAATAGTGGGATTCATGAGGCTGAGATCAGATACTCTAGTGGGAATATCATTAACTGTGGCACTCAAAGCACGATAGCACCATCTACCTTTGTGATTTGACCACAGGTCCAAGACCATTGATGTGACTTTCTCTCTCTCTCTCTCTCTCTCTCTCTCTCTCTCTCTCTCTCTCTAGAAGATTGTACCAGATGACCTATCTGGTCATCAGTTTCTGACCATGACATTCAAAATGGAAATGATTTTTGATCCCTACAGGGTACCTCATTGGCGGTGATGTTCTCCGGCTGCTGCATGGACACATGGACGAGTGTCTCACTGTCCCTTCAGGAGAACATGGTGACGATCATCGGAGGTTGGTACTCTGCCTGGCACATCCTGGCTTTGATATAATTGACATTCTTTTTTCTTTGCTATGATAGAATTTCTCTGAACTAAAAACAGGTCTATTCTGGCCATTAGCACACAGGGTGGACCACACACGTTCACTGCCAATTGAAGTATAATTCTTCCTGGCTTCCTTAGGAGGCTTTTCTCCTGGGTTTCTTGCCTATCAAAATAAGAACTGAACATCTTTGTCTACTTAAAACACTTAAGAAATATCAAGCAAAATAAGCTGAGTGGGAGGTGAGAACACAAGAAATTAAACTATTTAAAATGCCATTGAATGGCCATTTGTTTTGATGGATCTTTCTGGAAGATTTAATCTCAAATCCAGACTCAGAGTTCTCAAGTTTGTACAAATCTCTGGACTCCTCATCATCTGTTTATTGGCAAACAAAGAAGTTGACCACGTTCCTCAAATTTAAATGATAAAACGTGCCTCTCTTTTGGTATTATTTAGCATGGAGACAAAGTTATAACTGTCTGCACGTACCGGGAAAAGCACACACATGCTACGAAAGTGTAGAATACTTAGTGTGACCCTGCATTGCCTCATGAATCACTCAACAAGGACAGTAAGCTGGGGGCATAGATAAGAGATTACAGATGGGGAAAGGCTGCTGGGCGGTTTGTTAGGTGCCTTAAAAATATTTGAGTGGGAATTTCTCATGATGGTAACTGGGGTGCTTAAGTAGCTTGTTTAATAGATATTTATTACTGTAATTTAAGAAAAAGGTGTTGAGAACATTTAGAAAATGAATGATCACGTCAGTAGCTCAGGAGGAGTTGCTCTGAGCCCTGCGTCTGGGTCTTGCCTCTCATAGACTGACCTGGCTTAAGGTCAAGAGTGAAGTATAGTCTGTGGGGAGTTTCCCTCAGCTAAAGTACTGTGTCAAACATGAATATGAAATGTCACCCACAGACTCCTGTATTTGAACACTCCTCAGATGGAGGTGCACGGTTTTGTGATGTGTGTGTGTGTGTGTGTGTGTGTGTGTGTGTGTGTATGCTACAGTGTACTTCTCGAGCTCAAAATGAAGATAAAAAAATACATATTCATTTAATGTTGCTTCTGCATGGATCTAATATTTGTATAACTATTTTATACTTCAGAACACAATAGTGATTTTTATAATGGATGCTTTCAAAGAGTTGTACTGAGAGGTGCTAAAGCTAAACAGTGGCCAATTGGAACGCACCAGGGCCGAGGCCATCCTGAGAAATGATGACTACAGTTACCTAGTAAAGCCTCTCTGCAGTTATCCTGTGTGTCAGGCTTACACAAGCCTGTGTGTCAGAGAATGTTCTAACCTTAGCCCTCAATATCTGCTTTTATAAATGTGCTTGATGCCTTGACTGGAAAGGAATTTCCCTTCCATGTTCTTGGTGAAATGGGGAGAAGGAGGGTCCCCTAGAGGGTTCTTAGTCTCATTCATAAAAGAATTTAAGAAAGATAAGCTGGGCATGGTGGCATAAGCCTTTAATCCCAGCACTTGAGAGGCAGAGGCAGGCAGATCTCTGTGAGTTCAAGGCCAGCCTGGTCTACATAGTAAGTTCCAGGACAGCTGGGGCTACAGGGAGACCCTGTCTCAAAAAGACAAAAAAAAAAAAAAAATTTAAGAATGGACTCAAATGGAAGCTTTTACAATTCTATTAGACTCTTAAAGAAAAATCCTCAGGGCAGGCGAGCTGGTCATCTTGGCAGCCGCTTTGAGGAGGTGAATGGTGGGAAGGAGGAAAGAAGGCCATGAAGCCAGGCAGGTTTAGAGCCTGCATGGAGGTCAGACGCGTGGGTGACCGGCAGACACATGGCTGGGAGAAGGAAGCTTTAGAGAAAAAGTAAAGAAATAATTACAAGATGCTAGGGGCAGCCCAAAGCCTTAAAGAAAGCATGTTTAGTAAGAAAGTCATGAAGAAGAGAAGGAGAAATTATGCTTTCCTGAGGAAAGTGGACAGACTTACAGAGACCTACATGACTGTGGCTGGTCTGGAAGTTCTCTGGAGATCTTGTGCTAGTTCCAGACAGGAAAGATTTCACCATCTCATTAACGTACCAGGTTGTAGTCTACCCATCTATTTAGCATAACTTAAGGTGAACCTGCCTTGTAGGGGTGGCTCTATCATCATGTGATTGACCATTGAGACTGGAAAAGTGGGTCCTCCAACAGATAGGCTAGGAATTTTTATAGTCTGAAACAGATTTATGGGGCTTTTTGCTACTCTAACATTGGGGGGACATGTAGGCATCTGTGCTGGTCACACAGGCTGCAATTTGGATTTGCCAATACTGTAGCAGTTGAGAAATGATGTTGTAAAGCCTTTAAAAACTGTACGGAAATGGAGCCCAGGACCCAGACCTTTAGAGTGCTAGCTTGTCTGGGTCCACCAGTGTAAATAAACATGAGTTCTCCAACTCTCAGAATAGTGCCTGCTTACTTCCTGAGCATGATTTTCCACAAGAATACAATTTCTGGGAGTCAGTCCTTTGCCTCCACTATGTGGTTCCTGGGGGAATCAAACTCAGGTCATTAGGCTTGATGGCAAGTGCTTTTACCTTCTTCCTGGCCCTAGTCGGGTATTTTGTCACAGTGACAAAAGCAACACATGTTGCTTTCAGTGAATTAGGAACAAGATGCTGATGCCACTAAGAGGTTGTGTAAAGCTGAGATGGACTTCAAAAGGCAGTTGGCTTGAGGAATTCATTCTAAAAGAAGGGTAAATCATGAGGGATGGAGGTGTGTTCCAGAAATAGCAGACTTTCCTCAAAGGTGCCTAGGGAATGGAGGAAGTATTTGAGGCCAAAGGAGACTGACTGGTCAGGCAGGTTTTCTTATTGATGGATGCAGGGCTTTTCCCCTCGGCTGGCTAGGAGGAGCTGTGGGGCTGGGGATGGAACGGTCCTTGCTATTGTAGGCCTGCAGTCCCTGAGTTGTTGAGATCAAGTCCTCATCTTCAGAGCTCTTCTGGAATCCACCACTCTCTGGCCTCTGCCTCCCAAGTGATGGGATTGCAGGTGTGTGCCACACCCAGCTCTGAGTACTAAGGTTAAGCTAATGCAGGTCTAAATACTAGCATTGGTTAGTTAATAACATCTGTAGCTGTTGAATCTCAGCCTGTGTTCACCTAAACATAGTGAGAGCCTTTCAAGGTCATCTTGGCAGTAAGAACACATCTGTTTGTGTGTCTTTTTATAGCATGTTCACATGGTACAATTAGATGCAAATGGATGTCAGATCTTGACTTGAGGGAGAAATGAGTCAGAGATAGGCTGGCTGGAGCCTCAGTGGCGATGCTTAGGAACGAAGTATTCTGTTTGTCTTGATTAAGTCATGGGATCGAGCAATTATAGTACATAATGATAAAATACTTCCTTAAATTTAAGTTTAGGGAGAAATTCATTGGTTTGAATCTTGCTGATGTTATTACATAGATCTTGAAAAGCTCTTCCTCTGCTCTCCCCCGAGCCATTCACCCATGTCTTTGAGAGCCAGAGGAGGCCACAGGCAGCCCAGCCTGCAGGCTACATTCTTGTGAGTTAATATCGGTCTGTTTTAAGGGGAAGATTTCATAGCGGTGACCTCAGAATATATTTTGGTTCTTTTTAAAAAAGTAAAAATAGTTTGATTTTTAGACAGGGATTTGAAAGCTGGAGAAATTCCAAGAAAATGCATTCAAAATAATTTTATCTCATAGCTCCCTCCTTGTAATTGTGTCTGACCATACCCATTGATTGTATCTTGTATTAAAATTAAACAACAGACGTCACATAAGACTTGTTATGAGCAGTGGAAATTACTGAGATGGCCGGCTGTGACATTTTGTTTCTGAACAATTTAGGAATACTTATATCATCTGTAATATGTTCCTTCAATGGATTTGTCAGTTGGTTTGGCCTTGTTTCCCTGATAGGTATGGAAATATACATCACTCTACTTACAGCAATGAGAAATGTAGTTCAGTGATGGGCTGCATAATTCTAAACACCAATGGACTTGCCTCCAGCTTCCTTTTCACATTGCGATACATGTGTTCATTCTTTCAGAGTTACCTGTTTATGCCTGTAGAGTAGTAACACGACCATTCGAATGAGTAGCTTACAGTATGGTATTCACTGCAGCAGAAGTGAATTGGAAGATGAGCCTGTAAAGCGATGCTGCGACCTTTCCCCGTATCCCATCCATCTTACTGGATAGACTAAATTCTGACAGGCTGGGGAAGTGTATGTCACTATTGTTTTAAGCTCCTTGAGATTATTTCCAGGAAGATGTTTAGCTTTGAAACGTCTGATGCACATCATGTCTAAACTGTGGTGACGGTGGTGAAGATGGGGGTGTGAGCAGTCAGGTAATAGGAATGATGGTGTAAATATGAACTGTGATGTCATACTTTCTTAGTTCCTACTCAAGCACTTCAGGTAAAGGGACAAGATACATTGGGGAGAAACAGGCTCTCAGAGTCAGTAAGGAAATCAGATGCAAAACAGAGTTTCGATTATTGATTTAAAATAGATTTTCATTCTGGAGGCTTCAAATTTACTTACCAACTTGTTTGGAGCATGATGTATTTTCTGTTTTAGGTTTTTGTCTCTCTATATGTTTCATCTCCATCCATAACTTTTTGTGAATGTAATGAAATGTCAAAAAAGCCCTTCTTTAAATGCACACGTTATTTATGGTAAAATGTACACTGCTGGAATCAAGTATACCATGCCTTTAAGCTAGGAATTTTTACTGTATTTATTTTTTAATCATGCTAGATTTCAAACCCAGGACCTTACACATTCCACAAATACTCTACCATTGTGCAACATCCCAACAAATTAATGCATTCTAAAATGGATACATTAGCGGATATTATTTTGGATTCCTGGCATAGAAACCAGTATTAGATGAATATTGTTTGTAAAGCATCATTTGTATATTTAAAACAGATTTAGAATATAGCTTGTACATAATTGAGTTTGTCCAGTCA